TATAAATTTTATAAAGATAATAATTAAGTATTCTGTTAGAATTTAATGATTATACTAATTATATTTTAGATTTTTTATATTTAAAATGAAATGTTTATTCTGTATTTGATTGTGTTTATCTGCAGTTAGTTACACGAATTCAAATATGGGATGAAATCGAATAGAGATGAACGGATTTAAGAGTTTTAACCAAATGATTTATAAGATAGTATAGATAAAGATATAATGAAATATTGATCATCGATTATTCTTTTTCAAAGTATTATTTTTAATCATTTCACATTTTGTCAAATATACTTAACGAAGGTAATTGAGTGTACAGACGGATATGATGTAAGACATGTCAACTGTGAAGAAGAAAGTAGTTAGCGAAGAAACGTGTTCGTACCTCCATTTCTTGCCTTATCCAGCGTGTTGGGTCTCGTCTTTATACCTCAATTACTTCCCCTTAAATGCAATGCCCATTCTTTCAAACATCAGATCTTCAAATTTCCCCTAAATTTTTCCTATTTTTTTGAAGTAGAAACGAAGAAGAAGAAGAAGAAAGAAGAAAGAAGAATTCAATTCGATGGAACATCAACAGCTTGTTGAAACAACATCGAATTATCCTTCTTCTTCTTCTTCTTCTTCTTCAATGAAATCCAATGATGTGAAATCGTTCAAATTTCCATTGACGATTTGGGAGATGATGGGTGCATCGGGAGTCGTTTTCGGTTTTGCCGTTGGTTTCATCGGAGTTTACCTTTCCTTGCCGGACTCCGATTACAGCTTCCTTAAGCTTCCCAGAACCCTTGAAGATCTTCGTCTCCTCCGGTACTTATTTTCGTTTCTAAATTCGTACCTTTTGCGTTCCATTTTTCCAAATTGGATTAGGTTTATTGTATGCGCCATTGAGATCTCCATTGATTTCAAATGTTGAGTTTCATTCTGGAGATCAGAAAGAAATTGGATTTCTAAATCACGGAAATCTAGAGTTTCGGGAATGACGAATTACGTATAAGTTATGTTGAATTTGCAATTTGATTGAAAACTCATAATTCATGGTTGTTCTTCAGGGATGATCTTGAGCAATACACAAGTGATTACACGATACAAGTGCTTCTTGCTTATTGCACAGTCTATATCTTCATGCAAACTTTTATGATTCCGGGAAGCGTTTTCATGTCGTTGCTTGCCGGATCTCTTTTCGGTGTTCTAAAAGGCGTAGCCATCGTTGTTTTTGCCGCCACCGCCGGCGCATCTTCTTGCTACTTCCTATCGAACTTGATCGGCCGCCCCCTGATCTTGTCTCTATGTCCCGAAAAACTGGTTTTCTTCCAAAATCAGGTGACTGTTTTATATACGACAAAACTCACACATACTTCTCGAACCCCAACCTCAAAAGAGGTTGTTGGGCTCCAGACTATTGACCCTTTGGGGTGCATTTGGTGATTTGGTATACTGGACATAAAAACATGGATTATTGTTTAATGTTTGACATAGCAGAAAGAAATACATCCAATCCTGAACAAGACGGTACAGACCTATAACTTTACTGATATAATTTCAAAATAAAACTTAATTTTATTCTGAAACATCAAATATTGTCTTTTTTTACATTTTATGCTTTTTTTATATTTTATTTTTTTTACAGTTTTCACTTTATTGTTTTTGAAATATTATTTTATACATTTTATGTATTTTGGTTAATTTATTAAATATTAGTAACTTAATAAAATAATATATGAAATGTATAAATAAAAATTGAAAACTATATATTTTTTTTCATTTTAATAGTTGTTACAAAAACTTTCTAATGATATTTTTTTATAAAAAGTATTTATTTTATTATAATTTAATAAACTAGATAAATTAATCAAAATATATAAACAACTCATTAAGGGTAAATTGGTCATTTATATGGTATGTCATGTATGTCATGTTCTACCCTATCCTGTCTGGATACCAAACGCACCATTGGTGAAAAAAACCTAACGAGTGTTGACTGACGAATTCACCCCTCAATGATGTCGTTACTATATCGATTTCTTAGGTGGCGAAAAGGGAAAGCCGACTGTTGAACTACATGCTTTTCCTGCGAGTGACCCCGACCTTGCCAAACACGTTCATTAATGTTGCTTCACCAATCGTAAACGTGCCTTATCATACCTTCTTCTTGGCAACTTCCATCGGGGTTGTCCCGGTCGCTTATGTCGCTGTCAGGGTAAGTTCAATTTCCTCGAAATCGTCGTGTTTGTTAAGAAAAGGTAAAACAATCATTTACGTTATATGTTTGTTGTACAGGCTGGAACGACACTCGGTGAACTACGATCGGTCGGAGATCTATACGACATACAATCAATAGGCATCTTGTTTTTCGTAGGGCTTGCATCTGTGATTCCAACGTTGATAAGCAACAAGACCAAATCATAGCGTTCTTTTTGATTTTAGATGTTACCACTTTTTGCATCATAGGGATTTTTTGTGTTGGACTATTTGAATGAATTCACTTTTTTTTTGTTACCAATACTTTCAACTTTGTGCCATATTTTTTGTTAGAAATGGCCAACCTCGGCCCGGGATCTGTTTTTGGAAATTCAAGATCTGGTTCGGGACTCGTTACATTTAGGGACCAGTTTGCCAAAAAATTTAAGAGAAATTGACAGAAATAGACAAATCTTATTGACCAAATTCATTTTTTTGGTCACTTTTGGCGTCGAATTCCTAAATTAGTCAAAGTTTACGTAAATGTCTTCCGTAAAACGTATTTTTAGAACTGAAAAAGGGAAAAGAAAATCTTTACGCAAAATGGAAATCCTTGCGTAGACTTTAATCTGTCTAAAATAAAATTTTGATTGAAAAATGACTAAAAAATGAATTTGGTTAGGAAAATTGGTTATTTTGATAAATTTCTCATTTTTTTTATCAACCTGGATATCCAACCCACTATGCGAGCCGACTAATCTCAAGACAACCACCTGTTTTACAAATAGCCACAAAGGGATTTTCATTTCAAGAATTTTTCAGAAATTTCCAAGTTCTATGACTGTTTTTAAAGATATTTTTAGTGTAAATGTAAGATTAAAAAATGTATTTTTAATGTTCAATCTGAAAAATCATAATTACAAACAAAACTCTGAAATAAAAATTTAAAGGGTTATTATCATAAATAACCATTTGAGGAAAAAAAATTACTTTTTAGCCACCTCCAAATTTTTCTTAAAATAGCCAAGAAACCGTTAAGTTAATGTCGCATAACACTTTTCCTTATAGTTTCTGTGATTTTCTTGACACTTTTAGATTAAAAGTGGGCAAAATAAAAAAAAAACCACACATTGGAGCACCACAAGGACATGCGTTGACGCATTAAAAGCAAACCAAAGTTGCAGCTTACGACACTGAAAAAAATGTCGTAGAATATTAGACTTGCGGTTTCTCAACTATTTTGTATAAAAAAGTTTAAGACATAAAAAAAGTAAGACTTTTTAACCCATATGGTAATTGATGATAATAGGGTTGGGTTCACGTGAGACCAGTCTGTTTTCATGAGACTCATGAAACCATTTTTTTATACTTGAAACTTCATAGCAAAACGTTGTGAAGGTTCTTTAAAGAACCTTCACAACGTCTTGCTGTGAAGTTTCAAGTGTAAAAAAATGGTCTTACAGGTTTCACAAAAACAGACTGACCTCATGTGATTCGTATCCCAAAATAAAACGACAACTACAGAAGAAGGGTTTGACCATAATGTCAATCAAAAGATACATATCCTTAAGTTTGACTTGCATCATCACAAGTCAACTTATTTACTTTAAAGTTCAAACTACAACTACATACTCTCTATAACAACAACAACAATTTCACAGAAAAACCATCAACGACTTTCTAAACATAAAAACTACTAACCCTCTCCATTAATCATTAATGAATACGGAGAAGTACGTGATTATTCACAACCAACCTGACAACCACAAACACGAAGAATGGCGGTTTCTCCTACTCGATCACCACTTTTTGAAAACCTTTAGTCACGTTTTTGAGCGAATGCATATCCGAAGCGGCAGCAAGGCCCTGCAGCATTCTCAGGATCTCGATCGTGTCCTCAAGAAAGTACCTGGCTTTGCTCGGCTTTCTGCCAACCGTGCACGCAAAAATTTCGGCCACCGGAGAAAGGGATGGGCCCGCCATTGCCCTTGTGATCGCCTCAAACATGTCCTCATCCGATCGATCATCCCCTATGCAAACCACGAAATCTGGGACCATTCCTCTTTCTTTCATCGTTGTCAATAAACGGTCTGCCACAAGCCCTTTGTTGATCCCCTTTCGAAAACAATAACGACCATCTTACCATCAATTTTGACCAAAATAAACCATTTCAAGAAAAAGGTATTTCAAAATAACGAGTACTCCCACATGTATCCCTCTAGCATGCTAATTGGAAGGATACTGGTGGGAGTACTCGAAGGCACTACAACAAAATCGGCTTTGTTAGACCTCAAATATGTCTTAATGTTCTAATTGATTGATTTATAGAACCTAATTTATATAATCAAACAAATGTGTCATTTGCAAAAGTGTTACATTAAAGTTAATATGATGCTTTTGGGCATTCTAACAATTTTATATGATATTTTTGAAATAAAATGTCATAATAGCTTAATTACAAGGAGGGAGGTTCAAACGAGAACGGTAACTAAATAAAAGAACATGAAAACGCCAAATCATTTACAAAATCACATATGATTTTATACTAACGATCAATGTAAAGGTGTGCAGGCACATAAAATCGCATGTAATTCGATTGTTTTCTTATTCTTTTTTTGAATCTCTTTACAGGACCTTCCTCAAATACATCTTTTGATACGACACTTGTTTTTATAAGACTCTTTTTCTTCAAATACTGTCATAAAAAGACTAACGGGAAGCTTTACTTCAAAAGCGTCCTAAAAAACTTGTTAGGATGTCCAAAAATGCGTTATCAACTTATTGTAACACACATAGGACACACACAAGTGTTTGATGTTTAAATTAAGTCATAAAACAATCTATTACAACATTTAGACATATTTGGTGTCCTATAAAGCCGATTTTGTTGTATCTCTCTAGTCACAGTAACAGGGATACAAGAGAAGGGAAGAGAATACTAACCTGTGGTTTAACTTCAACAATGTTTTGGCCACTCTTGACTGTAACCGGTTCATTAGCAAGAACGCTTTCCAAATGGTCCAAAAGTTCTTTCGCTTGACACGAGCCAAAATCGGGATCAGCATACTGATAGTTCCACACGAGTCCACTCTCTTTCGTCTCGATGGTTGACCCATCAGTTGTTTCGGTGTACAGCTTCATCACCGGCTCTGCAATCTGTTTCCAGTAGAAATCCGGCACCGCAATACAAGTTTCCCATTCTGCGTCCTTATTTTCCCTACCGACGAAATAAATTAGCTTTTTTGTAATAAAAACTGTAAAACAACCGAACTTAATTGAAGAGATTTGTACCTCAGGAAGTAACCATGCTCTGCTGCAACGCCCAATTGTTCACAAGAAGAAAACCATTCAGTCAATGTAACTCGATCCTTCCCGCTAACGAGAAAAACGACGTTTTTCGGGTCTCGACACAAACTATTCAACATTCCAATAATTTCCGGACTCGGGCTTGTGCTGATTGAGTTCTGCAGGGTCATTGTACCGTCGTAATCTAACAAAATGGCACGTGTTTTTGTCCGTTTATAAGCTGAAACAATATGCTCGACCGAAAGCTTCCGGAAATTCGGATCTAATGCGACCACCCGGAACCCTAATCCGAACCCGATACCCCAACACCTTCTCCTCACATGATCACGGCATGATCTCTCGAGATCTTGCCAAAAGCTACGAGCCCAATACGCAACATCATGAGTGCTAACATACCGATAGTGTTTTTCATGCCGCATTTGTTTTTCGGCTTCGGCAACGACCAATGCCGAATCCATAGCTTCGGCCACGGCATCGATGTTCCAGGGGTTGACACGGATCGCGCCACTTAGAGACGGTGAGCACCCGATGAATTCAGAGACTACAAGCATACTTTTTTTGGGAATTGATGGGTTTAGCTCTAAAGTTTCGTCCAGCTTATCGTTCCCTTGTCTACATATAACGTATTCATACGGTATCAAATTCATCCCATCTCTTACAGCAGTCACAAGGCAACACTCGGAAATCACGTAATAAGCAATCCGCTCGTAAAACTGAAGCGGGTTATTGATCAAGATCACAGGCTCATAACCCTGCCGACCAAATTTCCGGTTAATACGTTCCCTAGTGGTATGAGTCTCAGACTGGACCTCGAGGACATCCCTTCCTCGACCTCTAGCCGGATTTGCAATTTGAACCAAAACCACCTTACCCCTCTTTTCAGGATGTTGAGTCAGCAAATTCTCGAACGCTAAAAGTTTTAAGCTTATCCCTTTAAAGATGTCCATATCATCGACCCCAAGCAACACAGCTTGCCCTCGAAATCGATCTCGTAACTCTGCAACTTTCGACTCGGTTTCAGGGAGATCAAGAACGTTTCGAAGTTGCTTCAAATGAATTCCGACGGGCAATATCTTGATGCTTACAGTACGACCATAGTACTCGAGCCCAATATAGCCTCGTTTCGATTGATAAGATAAACCAAGCATTCTGCTACAGCAAGAAAGAAAATGCCGGGCGTAATCAAACGTATGGAATCCGATAAGATCGGAGTTCAGAAGTGCCCGTAAAAGCTCATCTCTTACAGGGAGGGTTCGGTATATCTCAGAGGACGGAAACGGGCTATGAAGAAAGAACCCGAGTTTCACCCGGTTGAACCGTTTCCGTAAAAAGGTAGGCAAAACCATCAAATGGTAGTCATGTACCCAAACAAAATCATCATCGGGACTAATCACCTCCATTACTTTATCGGCAAAGATCTTGTTAACCGAGACATATGCTTGCCAAAGGGACCTATCGAACCGGCCACCGAGGTCCGGTGATAACGGAAGCATGTAGTGAAACAACGGCCATAAATGTTGTTTGCAAAACCCGTGATAGAATTTGCTAAAAAGATCGGGCGGTATAAATGCTGGTATACATTTAAAGTTTTCCAGCAAATCTTGAGCAACGCAGTCTTGATGTTTCAACTCTATTTCTTCCCGAAGACAACCGATGTAGATGATTTCTACATCTTCACCAAGTCCATCTCGGAGTTGCAAAAGAAGGGAGTCTTCATCCCAACTGAAGTTCCAACTCCCATCGGGCCGTCTGTGGACCCGTAGCGGGAGTTGGTTTCCTACTATGATCATCCGATCTTGTGAAACGGATGATGGGGCATCGGAACTAAACCCTTCGTCGTCTAGTTCCGATAATACCCCTGGCACGGTCGCTACACGCGACAATTTCTTTCCGGCTCGACTAAAACCCGATGATGGTAATGGTGATTCACCAGAGGCAAGTTCAAAGAGATTAGTATAAGATCTCGACATCATTATTCGATCAAAGACCGATCCTAAATTCACAAACCTTCCTCTTCAAGCTCAAATCTACAGAAAAAGAAATCAAATGATGCATCATATGTTTGAATTAAGGAAAAAAACTGAAGAACAGCTGTAAACATAAAAAAAAATCCCAAATCTAGAATTTGCCATTACTAAATTTAGCATCAACCAGGAATCTTGATTGAAAATATGAAATTCCCAGAAGCTAAATATGTTTTGAAACCCCTTAAATCCAAGTGGGTAAATGAACCCTAAACAAAAAAAACGAAGATCTGATAACGAAAACCTAAATCAAGATTTATTTTTTCAGAACAATGAACTTAAAATTGAAATTTTTCATGGGAAACCGTACAACATCAAGCATATAACCAGAAAGATTTATTTTTCTGAGCTATAAATCTAAAACCTGAAGCCTTCTTTGAATGATTTCTGGGTACCCATTTGAAACAAGAAGCTTATAAATATCAAGCATATGAACAAACAGGTTATGTGCATACAGTAAAAAAACACGATAAGAAGTCAAAATCTTACAAATCTTCATCCAGAAATCAAATCCACTTCAGAAAAAGATGGAACAAACCTGGAAAGTTGCTCAAAGTGCTGCCATTTTCAGTGAAGGAAGTAAAGATTCCCAGTTTGCTGCAAGTAAAAAGTGGGAGGAAGCTTAGGCTTGATGATGAAACAGAACCCACAAAAAGGTTGATTAAATGAATGGTAGTGATGAAAGATAACCTTTGATTAAAGCAGAAATAAGAAGAATTAGATGAAAAATATCAAAGATTCCTCACATAAATTATAAAGAAATCTCAAAGATTCTTCACATAAACACAGTACTACTCTCTATCACTATATATCCCACCAATGGGTTAACCAATTACTCTATAAAAAATTCTAGTAGGGACCTTTTCCAGAGCTTAAATTTCCAAAATCAGAAAAACGTACATGTTTCGATGCATACAGTACAACCTGATTCTTATTTCCAGAGAGAAAGCTCAAGATACCTTTCTGATTTTGATGCTGAGGGTGAGAGGTGAGCACTTACACAGTTCCTTTCCTTTACTATTATTTATTTTCCTTTTAACCGAATATATAATTATTTTTTATCAAATTTATAAAATAATAATAATAATAATAAATAAATAAATGAATTTGGATTTGATTTTTGACATACTTTGCAATTTTGTCAATTTAAATAGACGCGATCAATAAGGAAATAAAAACCAAAAACATGATGTCTTTGACGAACTTCTTTTAATTATCTCATAAACTTGAATCTATGACATGAAAACTAAATATAACTAATATATGTGTATTTTTAGTAGTCGGTTCCGTTCAGACCACTCAAAATAACGTTTAAACCGCAAACCATACCGGACCGAGCGGCTTGGCATTTTTTCAGGCCGGATTAAACCGCCAAACCGTTCAAACCATCAAAAACGGTTTGGTTTGGTTTGGGTTAACCGGTTTGAACGGTACAACAATTTTTTTGAACACCCCTAAGTTGTACCCTACACACATGGAGTTGAGTTCTACCGTTCTAGTAGGGTGCGTTTGGTAGGTAGAACAGGGTGGGACAGGACAGAACAAAACACATTTGTCTCATGTTTGGTGTGGTTTTATGTGGGACTAAGTGGAACAAGGTAGAACACGGGTAGGACACGGTAGCCCACCCTTCCCCCATGGAACTAACTAGAACAAGAAATAATTGACCTTTCTACCCTCTCAAAACTTCATCACCATGCCCTTCTTCCCCTCCATCTTCCACCGTCTCCTTCATCGTCGGCGGCCTATTATCAATCGGCGGCCTGGACAGAATCGTTCCCCTTCACAATCGTTCTCCTTCACAACCGTTCTCCTTCACAATCGTTCCCCTTCATCCATCGTTTAGAAGAACTCGACAGCCCCAATCGTTCGACCTTCTCCTTTCTTCATATTCTCAGGTAATCGATCTCTCCTCTCCTTCATTAAAGATGTTATCACACTTCGATTCTTGAAAGATGTTATCTTAATGCCATTAAAGATGTTATCGCACTTCGATTCATGAAAGCTTATTGTATTCAAGCATACTGTTTGCATTTTCTTAACTATATTCAAGCTTGTTGTATCACACTTCGATTAATGCCATTATAGATAAATATAAATTTCTTTTGAAGTATTTGAGTTCCTAAGCATACTGTTTGCATTTCCTTTTTGAAGTATTTGAGTCCCATTGAAATTGATGTTTATCTATTCCATTTCCTTTGAGTATTTGAGTGCCCTAAGGCCTAAGCTACTGTTTGCATTTCCTTTTGAAGTATTTGAGTGCCCTCTGCTTTTCAAATGCAGAAGCAGCAATGGATTTATCTACTCCATTTTGCTACTGTTTGCATTTCCATAATTATATTCTTTTTTGCATTTTCTTAACACTAGTTTGCTGTTTGCATTTTCTTTTGATTTATTAATGTGAGTTTTTAATTAAGATTGATTTTGGTATTTTTAAATAGTATTTGTAAGCATTTATATTGATTATTTAGTGAAAAAACACTAAACARCTCACTGGGGGTAAATTGGTCATTTTAACCAGTTCTGTCATGTCTTACCAAACGTTGAACAGCTGTCATGTCATGTCCTGTCATGTCCTGTCCTGTTCTGTCATGTCCTGTCATGTCTGCGCACCAAACGCACCCATAGGGATTCAAGATTGACATTATAACCAAGTTATGAAATTTGATTTACAAAACCAATTTATTTAATAGCTTTTTTTAAGTATATAGTATTTATATACGAAAAATAAAACAAATAAACTCACACACTCTTGTTACCTTTGGTGAGGTTTAAACCCTGATCTGCTAGAAAGCTAAAGACTCACATACCGTTAATACAAAGATTTTTTTTCTAAATTAATAATTAGAAATGATGAACTTAAAATAAAAGTGCAGTCGTCACTCATTTTTATGAGGTTATGGGTTGGTGAAATATCTTATTGTGTATTTATTTATTGCATAATTGAATTATTTGTCGTTATTATATCATATTTAAATACCGAAACCAAATAATTCATAAATTTTCATATTAAGGTAAAAATCAATATCAACACCACAACAATTATTTCTATTAAGACCCCAAAACTATTGATTTTGACGTTGATTTTGTTGGTAATTGTTACGTGACACACTTAAAATCAATTTTATTTTTTTAAAAGTTAATATTATTTACATTACAGCAAGACGCGTCTGGGTCAGGCTGAATTGATATTTTATGTTCTGTTATTTTAACTTAGTAAATAGTTTATATGTTGAATATAATTATCATTAAAAAAACCTCAAATTTCTTTTAAGAAAAATCAATTTAAAAATGTTGTAAAGATTCTTTTTTTGTAATTGTGGGTTCAGAGGTCAACTTACATGCACCAACTAATCATTGTTCCTCGGACGACTACAAATAGTCTGGAGTCATCTCAAGTGAACCTCCATGGCCACAAAGGTGACACAGGGTAAATGAGATTTTTCACTACATGTGTACATCTCTATAAAGCTTAAAGAAATGGTTATGCAATACATGGCATTAAACCATTCATTTGACGTGTTTCTGTTTTCACTAACTTTTTTTTTTTAAACTTTACACGCATAATCCATCAGCAGTGACATGTAACATAAATTAATTGAAAACGTCCCCTCTAACTTTTTTATGTTTATTAAAACCGTAGAAAACGTAATTTTTTTACCAAATAAGACCAACATATCGGAAGTGTGACTGAATGGGTGAGTATTAAATGTGATACCACTTAATGAACAAAGCATGTATCACGAATTTAGTTCTATTTGCTTGTTGTAAATTAAGTACAATGGTTTGAGTCTACTGAGGATCCTCAGTCCTGGTCCCGAGACCCGTTTTAATAGGGAATCCTTGTCTCTGTTTGAATCGGGTGAGCCAGATTCTCCACCGGATCGGACAAATCACGTAGAAGGTGAGTACATGTTATTTATCTTGGAATTTTCCAAAAAATGTGACATTTAATAAATGAGATGCAAATAATGAGAAAATAAGGCATGATTGGTTAGCAATTGTGAATGGAACAAACAAGATATTTGTTTCAAAATTTTGTCTTTACGTTTTCTTAAAATAAATAAGATGTGCTTGTCTTTTCAACTTAAGGGAACTTATTGTGTATTTAACATGTATTTCTTTTTTATGCACCTGGATATCCAACCTGTTATGCAAGCCGATTAATCTCAGAACGACCATCTGCTTTGCAGATAGCCCGGAGTCACCGCATTTGAACTTCCGTGGCCACAAGGGGATTTTTATTAAAACACTTATTGTTTTGCCAAAATTGTGGAAGTTAAGTACAAATTTTTGGTTTTAAGGTCATTGAGACAACAATAATTAATTGCGTGACATAAGTAAAAAGGTTATAATGCATCTTGACCTAGGGGTAATAAAGTCTTTTTAACATATAGTTTTCTTTATGATGATCATTTGAAAAATGAGTAAGCTACAATTTTGGCAACTAGTGGTTTAAACGAATATTCGAATGTGGTATTCAAACTTAACTAACTATAAGTATTGTCCCTTATGTTTACGTTTTGTATTGAAAATGTCCCTCATATTAATTCTGTTAAAAAAAACCGTTCAAATAAGGGCATTCTTAGACTTTTTCGTATATTTTCTTTATTTTATTTAATAAACTAATAAATAATTTTTGTATATATTAATATAAAATTTTGTAATAAATCAGTCGCCCCTCCCCCATTCCGATGGTATTCTTTGGCTGCACCATCTCTGGCAGTCTTTTCCGCAAGCCCCTCGATTGTCTTATCCGGTTGTATTCTCCGGTAGCCCCATCTCCGGTTGTCATCTCCGACAACACCCTCCACTCTAGTGGTCTTCTCCGGCCCAACCTTTCTTTTTCTTCTTCAACCTTCCTCTACTTCGGTGGTCTTCTCCAGACCTACAACATACACACACACACACACACACACATATATATATATATATATATATATGTGCTCATCACACTGCATATATAAAAGAATACATCACCATTGATCTCTGTGTAGAGGAAGTTTGGCATATATAAAAAATACATCACCATAGCGGACGGTTCTCTACCACTCACTTTCTTTGACATCTTATGGCTATCCTTAAATTCTCCGGTTCAGCATCTCTTCTTCTATGAACTCCCAGCTATCTCTAAAACCCATTTCCTATAAACTATATGGTTCCCAATCTTAAACAATCCTCATCAATTGTCCTCTAACATTTGTAGGGAACTTGATCGTTTTTCCGACTCCTACCCCAACACCCGAAATCTGTTATGTTGATGGGGACTTAGTTGCCTTCACGATTGCAGAGTCTACTCTTGATTTGAACGATCTTACCAAAAACCATCCTCAAGACTGTGGTAAAAATTGCATCATCATCGATCTATGTGTATGCAGTCATGAACAACAATCTATGTATATGTATATATTTATATATACACACCCCACTATGCATATATAAAAAACACATACACACTTTGCATATACAAAACGCATACACACTTTGCATATACAAAACACACACACTGTTCTGGGAAGTGAGGAAGGAAATAACAAGGGATGGGGGTGTAATCTGGGGAATGGAAGGGTGGAGATTAGTTTGGTCACCGGAGAAGACCATCAAAGATGGAATGACTGTGATGGTCTCTGTGTCCTGTGCGTCCGTGTGCGTCAGTATTTATATATTATATCAAATATAAATTAGAGTAAACTACACTTGGTCCCTGTGATTTAAACAAATGTGTATACCTCATCCTTATAAAAGTAAAAGATGAAAATACCTCTAACTTAACATATAAAGTTTAACAGAGTTTAGTCGAAAGACTATTTTCAATACAAAATATAATTATCATAAACAATAGTTATAGTTATTAAAGTCTAGGGACCATTTTTAAAGATTAATGTAAACTAAAGGGACCAAAATTGTAGTTTACTCTAGGAAAATAAAATGGCGTTTGATTGAAGTACTATTTGACAAGATTGTGTGTACTTTGATAAAAATAAATTAAATTGAAATTAAATGTATTTTGTCTTCTCAAAAACATCATCAAAGACTACATAAAATTAGATTTATAGGATATTTCCAAATTCTAATCGTTTTAATAGATTTTTTTATAGGGTCAAAAAAAATAAAACGTCTAATCTAAAGGTATTGTAATAAGTTTATATGACGTTTTTTGACGTCGTAATAAGTTTTTAAGACACTTTTAATATAATGTGTCTCATTATCAACTTTATAGGACATTGTTTGAAAAACTGTGCTACAAAAACAAGTGTCTACAAAAACAAGTGTCTTATAAAAAAATGATTTTATAAGACAATTTCTCAAAAGTATCCTATGAAGTTGCTAATATGACACATTGTATTAAAAATGTTTTCAAAAATTTGTTAAGACGCCCAAAAGCGTCATATAAACTTATTGCAACGCCTTTAGATAGAACGCTTTATATTTTGGTTCTATAAATTAAGTCTTATAAAATGGTTTATTGACACTTAAAGATTGATGACATCTCATAAACTCAATTTTGTTGAAGTGTCAACATGATCATCCAACTCCTTTGCACCAAAAATAACAAAAGATTATGTTAAAAAAAAATGGTGAATAGTTATTATGACATTAAATTTCATGTTAATTTAAAATTTGTTAAATGGTAAATACACATAGTTTAATAATACTTATTTTACAAAATTCGTTTAAAATTCAATTTGAATCGTTTAAATTAAATCCATGCATAAAATCTTGTACAATACAACTCCTCAACCCCCGACCCAACCCATCTTATTGACCGTCATTCATCTCTCCCCCTTTTTTATCGATACAAGGTGTCCCTATCATTTCTCTCTGCCTTTTCACTCGACTCTACTTCGTTGCCAACCTGCTCTTCTCCTACCCTTGTGTTGTCGCCTACCTAGCCACATCACCATGCCCCTGTAAAATCGTATTTTCTTTCCAGATGTGACTCGCCATCAGTAACCCCACCGTCATTGTCACCAACCACTTTTTTTCAGTTAAAAGTTCTGGTTACCACCAAAATTTTATCTGTTTATATTTTAACTGTCATCAAAATATAAATTTAAATTTTTACACGAACTACATAAAATGAACTGCCAATGTTGTATGATCCGGTTGGTTTGTATGGTATTTTATAAGAATTAAATATCCTTTTTATTACAAAAATATGGAAAAAGATTATTAATTATTTTTTCAATTTAATTTCGGAGAAAAATATTAGAATAATGCATCTCACATGTGTTTCGTCCCTACACGTGTTCCTCCTTTTTCATGTTGCATCCAAATAACATGAATCTATTTTGATTTTCGATGTTTTTTTTTAAATTTATTATAAATGTATTATTGTTTTACAAGAATAAAAAAACATTTTAAAATATAATTTATTTTATATTAGTTATTAATATATCAACCATTTGTTTTTATATTTTCAAAAACAATTAAAAGCAAGACCCAATGAATCAATATCATGTTAATAGTGAATTAAGTATTAAAAAATATGAATTAATTTAGAAAATATTAGAAGAGCATTCCCGCAATACAGCGTGACACGTTTCGATTTTAATGTTCTATTTTATTATTTGTATCTGTCGATGTTATAATTACGATTTTATGTGTTTTTTAAGAAAGCAATAATGATTTTATTCTTGAATAAATAAAAGTTTGAAGATATCATAAAAATTTGAAAAAAATATATAAATGTTAATATCAAATCAATTATTTAAAAGTTCTCATTTTTTATGTAATTTTTTTAATTTATTTTTTATTATAATTTAATTTAAGTTTAATAACGAAATAATTTATCTTTTGGTTTAAAAATATAACATTTTATAAAGATAATAATTAAGTATTCTGTTAAAACTCAATGATTATCTTAATTATATTTTAGATTTTTTATATTTAAAATGAGATGATTATTCTGTATTTTATTATGTTTATCTGCAGTTAGTTATACGAATTTAGATATGGAGTTTTAATAAGTTGTATTTATACACAATCTACTTGTAATCTTGAGTTTTAAGTAATATGCATTAATAAACAATATTTTACACATAAAAAATAATTTTTAAGAGCTTTTATCAAATGTTTTATAATATAATATAAATATTTTAAAATATTACTAATTAATTGAACCAATTTCCCGTAATTACTGATGAGAAAAATAAATTCAGATAGAATCAGTTACATTTATTTCAGAAGAAGAATTTAATTTATAATAAATATATTATTTCCATTTTTGTCATTGGTTAATATAATATTGAGGGAGGCCCACTTCTCCATATCAACAGGTAGCAATGTATTTTTCTTTTATAAAAATAAAAAAGGAATATTATTTAATATTTATATATCAATACAATATTAATATTTTATACCTTTTAAATAAAGTAGTTTATTTAATTGAGATATAGCAACATTTTTCAAGGAGCTGTTTAAAATTTTCAACTTTAAATCTCAACCGTTCATGTTTGACATAATTTAATCTAATGTTTTTATCAATAATTAAATACTTAAAATACCTTTTAACATCCGGCATCTTGTTTGGGCAAGCCTGTTATGATACTCGTAGTGATACAATCACTACTTTGTTCCTTTGTCGTGGTGTAAAAAAATTAGGGTTTTAAAAAGTACTGTCGTATTTTTTGTTGGACACAACCATATATTTTTTAAACAATACAATAATAACACAAGTTTCTTTTGACATTGTTTGTTTGGACGAGGACCTCATGTATAAAAAACAAGCACTGATTAACAGACCAATAATGATTTTTCATGAAAAATAATTGTAGCTTTATTTCTTATAGTTAGAGGGTGACATTATTTAAAAAAAAATTACAAGTCCACCTCTAATCTTGTCGTCTCCAAACATCTCAATAATTTTCATTTTTTCGGTTAAAAGTGGTCCAACCTATAAATATAATCATCACCTGTTTGGTGAAACGGGCGGTGGACCTTCATATTTGTTGCAACATCATTCATTATTGTATTTCTTTATATATCGTTTACACTTATTTTTAAATAAAATATTCGGTTGTGTGTTGATCGAGATGGCACAAGAAAACGAGCACCTAAAAATGGAGATATATTTTTGTCTTTTACTAATCATTGTGTGCTAGCTTTGCTTTTGGTATGTAACTTTTTTTATTTTGTTATGATTTACGTTTTTACATGTTTAATCGATTTTTTTATTAAAATATGTATGAAATCAGACATTGGCTAAACAATCATTCAATTATATTGTATTGTATTGACTGAAGCTAATGCAGTATTGTTTGTTTGTATAATGGTCATTCTGATTTTAATTAACGTTCTGAACAAAACTAGAATGTTACATTTTGCTTATAAATTAACATTATGCTAACAGTCAAATGCATAAAAGTGTCTTACAATCAGTGATGTAGCCCTCATTGGCCTCAAGTAAGCCTAAACCAACCCTGGAGTTAAAAAAAACATATTTTTATATAAAGACCACTCCGTCCTATTTATGTCCTCTAGGCCTCAACCTTAGTTATTGTCTCCTATGGATGTGTGTGTTTAGAGTGAACACGTTGTGCTTGTATAGTTGCATGAATCAGAAACCCTCGTAAATGACCTCAACTTCACATTAATCAGTGGCCATGCATGTCCGTTTTACTAATTGCTTTTATTCCCTTGCTACTACTCGTCTACATCATGCTCTCAACTTTCGTAAGTAGGTTTTAGTCAATCTTTTTTCAAGTTTAGTAAATCGTAAGTTTTTGAGATACGTTGAGAAAAATTGACATCTGACTCGTTGTTTCAAAATATGTTGGAATGTCCGATATGATTACATAGTCAAAAGATGGCATATGCTTTTGTTAACACGTTGTAAAATTACACTAAGGGGCTGTTTGACAATTGCTGAATGATTTGATGCAGAATGATTAAGTGGTCAGAATGATTAAGAGGCTCTCATGATATAGTGCAAAATGAAATAAAATTGTTTGGTAATTGTGTACAATTAAATTAGGGCTCTTAATGGTTAAGGGAAAACTTGAATACAAAATCATTCAGAGGGTTTTAGAACCATTAAGAGCCATACTTTTTTTTTACCAAACAAGATTCATCTCTTAACGATTCAAATGTTATCTCTTAATGAAATTATTAAGAGATAAACAAACAACCCCTTGTATGTTACAGTTCTGTTAGAATATACTTGAATATTTCATGTATGAATATTATTGAATTAGTTAGGTCAAAAGAAATAAAAATAAAAGAAAAAGCCCAAAAAAGGGGAGGACCAACAAGCCCAATACCCGAATGGGTCATGGGCTATTTTGTGACCTATAAAAACCGAACTGAGATCGCGGGGTTTCAATTCCGGCAAACTGAGGTGCAGTTGTTGAACGATGAGAAGAGGCGGAAGGAATTACCAAAAGAATGTTGATGAAAACTGGAGTTTTAGACCCCTTCATTATCGCGACCTCCATCAACAGACTCGATCGAATCCAAAATCATCATCATCGGAACCTTCCACTTCTTCCACATCAACACCCATCTCGGACTATATTCCTAAAACCCCAAAACCACCTCGAAATCGAAGAAACTCCAGCTGGGTTTCAAGGAATCGAGGTTCTGGAGCTCAATTTGTGAAGAAATCTGAACTGGGTTCGTCGGATTTTCACCCAAAACAGGGAGAAAAGGAAGAGCAGGAGGATTTGATTGAGGGATTTGATGCAAAGAAGGATGATGTTGATGAAGATGATGTGGTGAGAAGGTTAGAAAGGTTGAAATTATGTGGTGAAGAACCCAATTTATCAGAGGAATTACAGAGAACTAATGATCAACTTCAGCTGGATGAGGTAAACTTTATACGATTTCCATGAGATTAATCTTACAAGTTCGTTAATCGATTTAACCTTACAATTTCGTTGGTGATTATTGATTAAAGATTGATAACCCATTGAGTTATGCTTAATATTATGCAGAGTTCTATAACATATTTTACTTTGCTGATCAACTAGATTCGTCCTCTAACTTGTTTATGTGAATGATTAACTGTAGGTATTGGCTATGGAATGTATATATGGAGAGAACATGTTTATCCTCGATAAGCAGAGTGGATTGCAAATTTTGCAGGTTCTTTAATGATTTTGAGGTAATTTTGCTTTGTTTTTGCAAGAAAAATGTGAAACCAACAAAGAATTTATGTTTTATTTTGCAGTTTCATGTCCACATTCACACTTCTGAAGAACTTACCATCTCAACGAAACTAAATTCTTCTCAAGATTTGAACACCAATCCTGATAATTTACAAGATTTTTCTTACTCTTTTGAAGTTCGGTATCTTCCACCGATAGTTTTGACATGTTTATTACCCAGATCATACCCTACACATCACCCTCCTTATTTTACGATATCCGTACAGTGGTTGGATTGTTCGAAAATTTCTAGTCTGTGTTCAATGTTGGATTCAATATCGAAGGAGCAATCTGGGCAGGAAGTTATTTTCTCATGGGTTGAATGGTTACGTACTTCTGCTCTTTCTTATCTTGGTTTCGATAAAGAAATTTTTCTTGGCCCTTATGGAGTGAAACACCATAGTGATCCACGTGCGATATCAGGATGTATCTCCCCAGATGTCGATATTCCTTCATTGAAGAGTTACAACGAAGAGCAGCGGCTTGAACATTTTCGTAAAAGCTTTCATGAATGTTGCATCTGCTTTGACGAGTTTGCTGGTAAATTTCTACACTCCCATGAAGTAATAGATTATACTTCTTGTTGGTTCCAAGAATCTTGTGACTTGGATAGCTCGGATTTTGACTCGTATAAGTAAATTTTTATATGCAAATCAAGCCAAACCAACATAGTTATCCCACCTGGTGGTTGGGTCTGGAAGGGTAACATCTTACCCTCCTTAGACCCCACCGTGAGTTGGGCTATACTGCATTCGTTTGGTTGGACTATAAAATATAAATCTTGAGTTACGAGTCGTAGGTGTGATTGCCATATTGACTTGCTTTCTTCTTTTTCAACAGGTACCGAATTTATCAGATTGCCATGCCAACATTTCTTTTGTGAAAAATGCATGAAAAGTTACTCGGATGTGCATATAGAAGATGGTACTGTGAACAGGCTTTGTTGCCCCAGTACAAAATGTGGGGGCATGATCCCCCCGGGTCTTTTGAAGCGATTGCTTGGTGACGAGGAATTTGAAAAATGGGAGTCACTGACGTTACAAAAAACGCTTGAATCAATGTCTGATGTGGTCTACTGCCCTAGATGTGAAACAGCCTGCATAGAAGATGAAGACCAACATGCTCAATGCTCCAAATGCTTCTTTAGCTTTTGCACACTTTGCAGGGAGCGACGCCATGTCGGAATCACATGTCTCACACCGGAAATGAAGATCCGTATCTTGCAGGTAACATCATAATAATGTTAATTTACATAATCAATTAAAATAAAAGATATTTACTCTTGAAATATACATAGCATGAGTTCTCAAAATATTTGTAAAATTGGCTATTCTCCATGACAATTTGGTTGATTTTCCATTAAGTCATGTATGAATAAAGTTGTCTATGTGGATTTATCTGTCTGTATAGATTGGGAAGGTTTTTGTTTGCAAGGGTTTTTTTCATAGATGGAAGGAGCTTGTTTCTTAACTGGGAGGGGTAGGTTTGGAAAAAAAACTTGGGTCTCTAGAAGCTTATTGAATAAGTCACTTTCTGTATCATTAAGCCAGTACCAAACAGGTAATCTATAGCTGAACGAATAATTTGCAAGTCCCATTAAGCTCATTAAGCTGATAACAAACCGACCCTTGATCCTTAAAAAAATTGTGTAAGTAGGGTGTAGAGAAATATAGTAGAAAAATATGTGAAGAAATTTAAGAGTATTAACATGAAATGCAGGAGAGACAGAGCTCAGGTCAAATGAAAGATGAACAACGGAGGCGAGAGCAAGAAATGATCCAGGAGCTTCTTAGCGTGAAAGAGATACTTCGTGATGCAAAGCAATGCCCGTCTTGTAAGATGGCGATTTCAAAAACAGAAGGTTGCAACAAAATGGTGTGCCAAAACTGTGGCAAGTATTTCTGTTATCGTTGTAATAAGGCCATCGATGGATATGATCACTTCAGGTCCTCTTGCTCTTCTCTCTCTGCTGCTTTTGTTTTTAAGATAAATGATGATGAGCTTTAGGAAGGAAGTTTAATGAGCATGTATATTGATTTTTGTTAAAGGGATGGAGCTTGTGAACTTTTCCCCCAACAAGAAGTTAGAAACTGGGAGGAACAGATGAATCCACGACAAGTAATGGGTCAGATTCAAGCCGAACTGTTTGCTGATCGTGGTCATTCGTGCCCTCAATGTGGTCAAATCAACGTCAAGGTGACTGAATCAGCTTCATTCTATTTACTGAAACTGCTGTGATTATATATAACAGGTTCAGGGAAAACCGCAAAAAATGAAAAATTTATGAACATCCCGGTGATCATTCATCTCGACGATGTGTACATGTGTATATAAGTAATTTGTCAAGTACGCACATTGCATAAAAACAACTTCAATTACTTGTATGCACATGTACATACGATTCAGATAAATGGTTAACCAGAGTGTTTCTTGGTTTTTCATTCTTTTTGGGTTTCTCCTTAAACCCCGCCCCTCCTCTCTCTCTCTCTCTCTCTCTATGTGATTTCACATAGGGTGTGTGGTACGACTTAACAAGTGATTTGAGCGTAATATCACATGTGATATGAGCTCTTCGTGTTCTTTTATTTTGACCATGATCTCGTTTGAACCCAACTCTCTCTCTCTCTCTCTCTATATATATATATATATATATGTATGTAACGATGTTGGTGTGTATGTAGGTTGGCAATAACAATCACATATTTTGCTGGGCATGCCAAAGCCATTACTGTTATTTGTGTAGAAAGATGGTGAGACGCAGCTCTGAGCATTACGGCCCAAAGGCCTGCAAGCAACATACACTCGGATAGTTATTAATTCAGTCAACAAACTTTCTTATCAATTTTGTTCTTTCCTTTGTTACTTATTGTTTCTCTCCATATTGTGTTGAGTGAATCTATCATTTACTGGATATATTTGTATTATCATCTTTTTTTCTGATTGATAAGAGATGAAGTTGAAATAGAAAGCAGAATCAATAAGACATTTGTTTTTATAAACTGATAAATATACTGGGTTGAGCAATTGAGAGAAGGGGGTCGGATTTATTGAGGTTGAGCAGTGGATCGATAAGATTTGGGATGGGTTAAGAGGTCACCTACTATTAGTAGAAGAAAAAATCAAACATTCTGAAAGCTCTGACTCTTAACTGAGGGGCTGTTTGTTTGGCTCTTAATGGTGACGTTAAGAGCCAACCTCTTAATCGCTAAGAGGCAAGAGTTGTTTGGCAAAAAAAAAAAGAACCACTTAATGGTTACAAAAGGCTTTTAACCATTTAGGGGCTAGGGCTCCCCTCAACGATTCAGAGGGGTCTTCTTCCATTTTTGCCCTCTCCTCAACAGCCCGCTGCTCCCACGATCGATCCATTTTTGCCCTCCCCTCCTTCCAATCGACATCGTCTCCTCCCAGGCCTCCCACCCTCCTTCCTCCTTCCAATCGATCTCGTCTCCTCCCACGCCTCCCACCCTCCTTCCTCCTTCCAATCGATCTCGCCTCCTCCCATGAGTTGCTGCCTCTCCCAAGTTGCTGCTGTGTCGCCTCCACCATCTCCGTCCCCGTCTCCGCCTCCATCGTCTCCGCCTCCATCGAGTGTTTAAGGTTGGGTCCTTGTCTGCGGTTGTTTCTTCAAAGGAGGAGGATGAGAAAGATGAATGAAACTAGCACAGAGATGATACTTCCATTTTTTTAACTGATTTCTTGCAACATTTTTTTAGATTGATTGATGATGTAGATTAGGGTTGACTGATTCAGTTTTTGAAGTTGACTAGAAGCTAATTTGATTTCTTCCACGATCGATCCATTTTTTTAACTGATTTCTTGCAACATTTGCTCTGTTTGTTGTTAATTTAGGTCATACAAGTGTTTAAGGTTGAAGTAGCATCCCTAATGTGAATGAGGGTTAAAATGGTAATTTACTGTCATTCAGAGAACAATTACCAAAAAACATTATTTCATTCAGCACTTAACCATTCTGGTCCTCTTAACCATTCAACAACCGCCAAACAGCCCCTGAGTTTCTTTTTCAGAAAAAAGAAACACCACCTAAAAGTACTTGTAACGGATTATTAATGTGTCTTTCTAATTAAACGACATATCATTCATATACATTCTCTTCATCTACCTCCGGCTTCACAAAGAACTCGATGTAGGCAATGCGGCTAGGCTGCTGATACCCAGCGGAATCTATATGTGGGTGAGAATTAGACGGTCTTGCAACCGATACCAAGTGTTGAACTTTTAACATCCCACCTCTTCCAATTGTCACTTTGCTTCCTCGATTATCTTTAATCACACTGCTCGGTATGTTGGAAGTTGTTGCTCGAAGAAACTTGTACTTGTACCTACAATTCATAACAACACAGATACCCAATATAAGCGGTGATAACAGAATTATATCACAACTTCGATTCTCTTGCTTTTTCCCAAGGGATTGCCACATAGGGTGCATCTGGTATGCAGGTGGAAGAATTGTGGAAGGTTTTAGGGTTTTAATTTGATATGCGTAGTTTAGTAATTTCTCAAGCATATGTCCAATCTTCCTGATTTTTGTTCCACCTATTTTGGAGGGACAGAAAAAAAAATGTTTTTTTGTCCCTAAGTTTTGTCCGGCCCTAATCTAATTGTTGCACCAAACATGAGACAAGTTTTTGTCCTGCCATGTTATGCACTGTCCTGCATACCGGATGCACACATACCCACATGAACCCTATATCTAAAACCGAGAAATATGAGTTTTTGTATCTAATGAGAGGGCTTCACATTGCTGAATGAAAAGGTTATAAATTCAAGGTAACTTCTGTAATGGAGGAGCTGGAGTGGGAAATGATGAGATCATATAGAACTACTGAGATAAAGGTCGAGTGGAGATGGAAAATGCATACCTGTGAGAAACAATTTGATCACAGTTGAATGCAGCTAGGAGATCCGTGTTTGCATAATACATGAAGTCTATCTGTAAGTCTCCATGGCCTTCCGCTTTAAAAGTAACTGATGGAGGCGCTGGTTGCAGGATTATTTGGATGCTTGATCCTGGCCATTCCAGATCATCAATGGCTTCTTTCAAGGCTGCTGACTTCAAATGAGGTTCGTACTTTTACTTTAGTTTGCAGTCTAAATCACCATCCTCCAAAAAGTTTAACATAAATCAACATGGAAGTGAGAGAAATTATATATCTTATCAATCGTGAAGGGTAAGTATACATGATTGGAGCAAGTCAAAAGATCAATGTGAACGTGTATTATTTCACATAAAATAGGTTTCCTGATCAATTTTATACCATAAATAAGTAATGTTAGTAGATGATCCAAAGATTTCCTAAATGTGCATAAAGATCAAATGCAAAATATTACTTTGTGAAAAGAGTTCCAGTAAAGAAAACAGAGGCATGGACAGGGTGAAGGCTGAATAGAGTTGAGATCCTCTCCATGGTTATCTGTTGCTTGTAATGTCTGAAGCTGACATTGAAGCAGCACCTCACAAATGATGAATGATAGGGGAATGGGACTACAGATAGTTGTTTGAACACAGAGCAATTTAAACAAAAATCGAATAAATGAAGATGGAACAAATTCCTACTTCAAATTACAATAAATTAGTAGGAACTTCAATGACAAGCAATAAAAAATGTGTCGAGCATTAGTGGTGCAACTAGGAAATTAGAAACATTTAGGATGCTTATGCATCTTAGCATTATTAAAAATGGTATGCCAAGCAGAAATTTAGCCATATAAAATGTTTATTATTCTAGAGAGCCCCAACATCACAAAGCTCTTGGCCAAGGGCATGGCTGATAATTTAGAGAAGGGACCCTTGTTGCTTTCACATGTTTAATTCTTCGGCCGATCATTTTATGGACAATGACTAGTTCAAATTGTGCAAGTAGGGAAGTCATTAAACCAAAACTGAACAACATACAAAAAACTCATCCCTGCACATAGTTAGGATGCAGTCACATTCAAGCATACAGATGGCACATGTGAGCACTTGCCTGTGTTCACAAAAAGCAGAACCGCTAAAGATGATGTTAGAAGGAAAAATTAGGTACCTTAACAGTAAAGTTGATGGGAATGCTTCCTGCAGGTACAAAATTGTAGTCCCATGAAATTGTGTCGGGGATCCTAGTTCTTATCTCCGCATAAGTGCAAGCACTTAATGAATCAGTGGACCTAACAAAAGAAAAAAACAGCATCATACTGCAGTAAAAGATTATCCGTGGGTATGTGGAAGTTGGAACATAAAAGGTAAAAGTAGTTCTCAATAACGTTTTAAGAAAAATTGAAAAGCTTTTGGTAATTCTGCAATTCCAAATATTGTGATTGCAAATTCTATTTCACCAATCTGATGCCAATGCTTTCGGACTTTGAACCCAGTTTTCCAATATTTTTTTCTCACTGAATTTCTTTTTTGTCACTTGTGCAACCATAAAACCAATTTTCATATTCTGCCCTTGATAATGTTACAATCTCCTAGGTTGTAAAACAAACACAGCTCCTCGTATAGAGGTTAGCAGGTTTGTCTTTGATTAGGAGTCTAGACAGTGCCCTTTGCTGGGAGATTAAGAGCAAATATGTTCTACTCTGCCTAGATCAAAGGTTTCAAATTTGAAATTAAAAACATCTTCTAAAAAGATATGTAAAGGCACCCCATTTGCTGGGAGGTTAGGAGTCTAGACAATGCCATTTGGGCCTGTTTACCTCAATCATTACTAGGAGAAGATTAACTTCGAGAACAAATTATGTAAATGCACCCAATTATGGATGCAATGCAAGAAGTATAATGAGTTACAAGGTTGTCAAGCCTTCAAACAGATTAAAAGTGCAGTTGTTGGAGAGAGAAAAAAAGAAATATCCCGTTGCTAAATGATTAAGAGGAGGTTCCTTGTAGTTGTAGGACTAGTTGCCATGGTAATAAGTGATGTTCCAAATTATCCCCAAATTATCCCCACAACCACCAAAACTGTCTTACATAAAGTTGGCAGAGTACAATTGACCTCTGTATTTGAGTGCACTTTAGGCTTACCATTGTTTCTGGCTACAACCTCTGAAATGGTAATTAAAGTAGCATCTCTATCTCCATCCCTTTCATAGGTAAGCAAGCATTTAAGAAGAATTGGTGCTTCAATTTCTGAGGATACACATATTCCTGTAGATCATAAATGATTTTCTAGAGAGAAGTAGTGGTTGTTAATTATAAAGATCTCATTTGATGGTAGCACCAATACCTGCCTGCCATTATCAGTTTAATTAAAACCTTATAAATATAAGAGTAGTGACACCTTAAGATGACTGGGAACACGAAAAATAGCATATATGAAGGTACATTTACAAGCACAAGCGAGAGAAATTAACCGTTATATCCTTCTCCAAAACCTAGGTATTAAAGGTACGTAGATGGCGACTAAGAGTCTCATCTATGTATTATCGCTATAAGGAACTGAAAATTGTATTTATTTCTCTTAGGACCCACACAATGACTTTATGCTGCGGTTTGGAGTCTAGAGTCTACGCTTTTTGAGCCACATTGCATGATCATTATGATTAACTTCCACTTTGCTCATTATGCAACAGAAACATGTGGATGTCATGGACCCGACATATATTATGCAGAAAATTAAGGTGCATCCAGATCATATATCACAAGAGAGATACAATAACACATTATGATCAATATGTCCTCAGTTTAAACTTTCTAACATATCAAATCCATTTTTCAAAGAAATTAAGATAAAGGATGTCAATATGTACTTGAGAAGAAGCTGCATATCAGGCCCTGGATACTGGAATTCGATTGTGCTTGAGTGTCCAGGTATGCAAAACGTGTTGAGGCAATCCACAAACAGGCCCAAGCTTACTCCAAACCTAGGCTGCCCTTGTGCACTATATTCGTAACGAACAAAAAGCTACAATAAAGATCAAGAAGCAAAGGTTACTGTATGGTCAGCTGACAGATAAGGAGCAATGTTCTCAGTCCAGAGTGAACAACTTGGAACTAGCAGTTCTGATGTAAACATTGCTCACTTTTTTCCCGTTCCTCCTTTTGCATGGTTTCTTATTCTTATCATCAACCGTGCTTCAGCCACTATTTTGGATCATCATTTTAACAAATGCAGGGTTTTCTTACAGATACCAGTTCTATAACATTGTTTTGGCTAATATTATCGGAATTGGGAAAAGAAACTATATTTATTTCTTTCTTTATCTCCAGGAGACCATAACTATAGAAAGAGATGATCAAGGAATACCCCATTTGGAGTTGGGTTTATGTGTTTTTTAGAAAGCAGACGTTACTAAAGTACTTTAATATTGTCATTTACCATATAGAGGTTGTATATGGTCACTTGCTTGTCACCAACGTTTTTTATGTTGTAGTCATATTCTTTTTTCATTGTATAAACTACCGATTGACTGAAAATATCTAGCTCCGTTGCTTCTGTTCAGGTCTTACAGGTTTGGGGTTCGCCATTACATTGACGTAATTACTAATTAGATCCATTTTACTTGCATAATCAAAATACTTTCAATATCCATATCGCGAATGAACAGATGAACATTCGAGAATGAAGACTGAACTTACGAGGGAGACTACTGTCAATCGAAGGGATTTTAAAGCAAAGAAGCAAAATTATGTGTATATACCTCTCGTTGTAGATAAACCTTTGCTTGAAGACATCCAGTATCCTCAACGATCAACACAATCCCATGCTCACTCAATTCCAAAACTGCATCCTAACTTATAGATAATATCTATCAATTAGCACAACTCCCATATAAGAACCCTAGATTTGTCAATCAAACTAAAGACTACTAAAACCCTAGGTTTCCATTGAAACTTCCTTTTTGCAAATTTCTGAAACCAAAAACAAACCTGATGGCGTTTCCATCGGACTGAGGTGAGGGCGTCCACCATCCCTTGCACATTATCGAGCTCACAAACTAGATCCGGCGACTCTGGCTCCACCACCGATGAAGACATCCCTTTCCCGCCAAAATCCCTTCTCTTCTCAGTTTCGATACCAAGCATATGTGATCAAATTTCATTTATACCCATAGAGCTTGTGATTTATCAGATTACACTCCCCTGTATTCACTTCTAAGTACAGATTCGTCCTCCTAGTTTACTTCGCCATAAAAGAACCGAAAGATTACTCTCTTTACGATTTTGTTCTACCGAAATTGCAACACATATTAAATCATTTTTTTGACAATGATTTTATATACCTTTGGGGAAAACGGGCAACTTCAATGGAGCATTGTTACATCAATGTACGTAAGTTTATAAGTTAGAGGTCGTTTACTGAACATTTATCCGGGTAAATGTTTACTGGTAAAATTCAATACTATCATTCATCGGATAATATTTCTTTAATCTACCAAAACGGTATCGTATGCAACAATGTACCCAGTAAGCGTTAACCGTGTTAAGAATTGTTGGTCTCACTTACTCGGCAAGACTATCGTCTTTGCACTCTTATCAAGTAAGATTATTAATCCCTGCTATATTCATTATGTAAGCTAATATGACTTGGTAAGCGTTTACCCTTGTAAGTCTTTGGTAAACGGCTTCTTAGTCCTTGTCATATGCATTCAATAAGGTAACATGACTTGGTAATTACTTAGCTGAGTAAGTGTTTGATAAACGGTCCCTTAATTTTCATACAAAGTTTGTTTGTTTTTAAATAAGTAAATTCCTTTTCTAACGGTCAATGCTCGGTTACTTAAAATACCAAACCAGGGTTTAACATCGATATAGCACAACCCAAAACTTACTCAAAGTCTAGGTTAGAGTTGGGTGTTACTAAAACTTCATAATAGTTGCAATCTCCAATGTATGAAAGACGTCTCCAAATAGCTTATTCCATTGTGTGTCGCTAACTAGCGCTCAACTTATCACAGTGTCATTAGTACCATTCCCCATTGAGAACCTGATGCACATGACGACAAATATGGTTAGGTTTAACGTTTATTGAGTTCAAATAGTTATCATCGTATTTATAAGACGGTAAAACTAAAAGGCTGTTTATTTAAATCGTAATTTCTCAAATGAAATATATTTATCGTAGAAACAACATACCAGTTTCATGGTGAATACTCCAAATCAGAGCACCATTTCAATAAGAATCAAAACCCAATACTCGCACAAAATGCGTATAAGGCTTAATATCCAAATATGGAAAACATAGAGAAAACTCTATCATCCAAAATACCAAAACATGGATAAGTTCCAATATACCAACATCATAAATTATGGACCAAAACGAGTGTTCATATCAAATCCAGGCCAATAAATTATTCCACTTATTTGACTAATCTAAAATGATTAATCATAAACTCCAAAATACATTTAGAGAGTTCAATGAATATCATGACCCAAAATACCATTAAATCCAATAGAACTACATCATGCATATTATTTGAATGATATATAAAATTGACATATACAAATTCATCAACTTGAAACTCACCTTGTTAGGTTAGGTTAAACTTAGTTTCCAAACCCAATCTCTAGCTTCCATTGGTGAGGACTTTAGATACCCAAGCTAAACTCCTAGATCTACGGTGTAAATATTCTCAAGAATACATCCTTTACTCAAAAACATGCATACACAAACCCAAGAGAAGAAACGAGGGTTGAGGTGTATGGAACCAAACCCTAGGCTAAGAAATGGTTGGTTATACGCTTACCTATTAACTTCTAGGGACCTAACATATTCAAAGAAACTTCAATCCGTGTTCCCACATTGAAGAGATTCGAAATATGAAACCATAGCCTCCGAAATCAGCTCAATAAGGGTAGAAATGAGAAAGTTATGGCCAAATAAAGAATACCTCGATTTTCGGCCTTTTGTGCAGGTCCAACCCTCCACGCGACGTAAGTTGCGTGGAAGGTCGTCCAAGCTCAAAATTCATCAAAGAGAGGCTTACGCGACTTGGGATGCGACCCAACTTGCACGCCAGGTCGCGGGAGACTATTTTCCGTTTCTTTGTTGTCAATTTTCACGTTTTTCAAGCCGATTCGATTCCCAACCTTTCCAGCATGATTATATAAAACCCCTCATAGCTTATCATCTTAACTACTCTTCGATAATAATTTAATCACGGTGAGGCCCTGAAATTTGCGAGTGTTACACATTCCATGCAGTTCTCCTTAGAAATTATAGACCAAAATTGTTTATATTTATCGAAGAGTAAATTACAAAATTCGTTCGTGCGGTCATATGCAGATTATGGATTGGGTCTCCCAAAATAAAATAATTACAGTTATAATAATCGTGGTTTCATTTTTATTATGGCTCTTGCTTAATACTATTAACATTAAAAGATATCCTGGTCTTTTTTACTATTTGTATGTATAAATCAAATATGTTTGTAAAACGAATACGGGTGTGATTTAGTTATCTTGGCAGTGTCGTTCTGAATCAAATATGTGTGTATGTATAATCTATACTATCTTATAAAGCAAATTTAACAAAAGTCTTAAAATACTAAATGACCAAGATATCCTTTATATCATTTTTTCATCCCCTCCTCTCCTCACATACACTCACCCCCTCACATACACTCACTCTCTCACAATCAGATTTTTTTAAATTATAATTTTAAATTTACAATTTATACTCCTATAATTAGTTAATTAATTTACGTTACGTCATTTACTTTTAAATGTTTCATTTAAAATTTTTATCAAATTACTATACATAATCGTATATCAATTAAAACATGTTTAAAAAATACWTTTTTATTTTAACAAGTTACACCATTATAATCGTCTCGTTAATACCTTCGAAATGAGTYTAATATTGAATAGTTTTTGACTTAATTATATTATTATATATTATATATATTGTGAAAAAATATTTTTAATATTTACGATTTATACTTTTATAGTTATTTATATATATATACTATATACTTTGGAGTTAGGCTGTCCAAATTGCACTGTATAGTATGTTCTGAATTAATATGTTATTGAGTTTTTTTGGAAATATATATATATATATATATATATATATATATATACACACATACATGTATTAATTCAACCTTAATCTGAGTTTCTGGACAAGAAAGAGGGTAAGCAGTTGAAATTTCATTCTAAAACCCATCTTTTTTGGTCTTTTTCATGGCTTATGATCTGTCAAATTTGTAGTTTTCTTTATTGGTTTTGAGTGTTCATCTTAAAGCTCAAGTTTCTTGGTTTTTTGCTCTTGGCGTAAATCGAACACATTTGTGGAGTTGTTTAAATATGTTGGATTTTAAATATATTGGATTTTAAACTGTCATACAATTTTTTTCATCGATAGTCTGTAATTGGAACCATAACTCTTATTTATTCAAATTGTATTAATATGTAAAGACCAAATGTAACATATATCATCGTTAAATATTATCTTATAAAACCAGTGGAACTTCAAAATCGTTAAAATTCATGGCTCCCGCTGCATTGCGCGAGTACACAACTAGTATTTAGTTATATGGATTGAGTTTGTTGGGTTCATCGAAGTCCACTACATATTATAGGTTCGTTTTTAATTTTAGATATGCGTATATTCAAGGGGTGGGAGTGGTGTTTGCCGGAGAAAGGGTTCAAATCGAAAATAGTGGTGGATGTCCAATGGAGATGGAGATGGAGATGGAGATGGAGATGGAGATGGAGAAGATGCTCCATAAAAACGTGGAAAATGATGACAAACATCTAACACCACCTATTCAAGACTTTAAAATCTTTTTTTTATACATAAAACCACATGAGCGGAAATTAGAAATTACTATTTATTGAATTATTATTAAAAATAGGCTAAAAACACCCTTATATATTATTACCAAATACACCATTATTTAAATATTAATATCAAAAATTAAGGGGTGTTTGGTTCATAGAATGAAATTATAATTTATCAAAAAAATTTGACTTTGAAAGAATTGAAATGAAACTTGATGGAATTTGACCAAACATTTGGTTGGTGGAAATTGAAATGAAACCCCTAAAAGGAATTAGAACAATTGTCTTTGTTTGGACTATCGCACCCATTGTTCCGTCCGCGCCCCACCAACCATCATGTCATTACTGTCGTTATCATAGGTATAAAAAAAAAAAATGAAACTTGATCAAAAAATTTGTTATTTCAATCCGGAAAATAAATTTGCAAGTTGAAATCTTGAAAATAGGTCCAACTATTTTCAGTCATGATTACCATTTACAACAAATAAGATATTAATAAAAAATCCAACTTGTTCTCCGTGTCCCTCTTTCATCCCCATCTAATCACCATTTTCTTCCATAGTTTTCTCCATACTTCCACTCCAATTACTATTCTAGGGTTTTTAAATTCCATTAATGGCGCTTCCGCAACCCTAAATTAAACCCATCATCCGTCGCCATGGAAGCTCGTAGTTATAGTAATGCTGCCGCATCCGCACCTGACGCTGGTTCTTCTGCTCCACCGCCTGCGCCGCCTCCGATGTCGACCGTCAATGCTCCGCCGCCCTTCTTAGTTAAGACTTACGACATGGTGGATGATCCTTCTACCGATAAGGTTGTTTCGTGGAGTGCCACGAATAACAGCTTCGTCGTCTGGGACCCGCCCGAGTTCGCTAGAGACCTGTTGCCCAAATACTTCAAGCACAATAATTTCTCCAGCTTCGTTCGCCAGCTCAATACTTATGTATTATGCCGTTCCCCTTGCTCATTGAATTTCAAGTTAGCATTGAAATGATTGCCTGATTGCTCTATATTTGATTGGTTTATGTCTACAATTGCGGGTAATTGTTTATATGTTTACGAATTTTATAACCTATTCACTTTTCATCTATGCTGATCACTAGGTTCAGAGTTCAAATTGTAGGGCAAGAAAAAGGTAAAGTGTTTATTTTCATTTCCAGAGCTTTTATAGGCAATATGTCATTCCTTGTATATGGGTTGGATGCAAATGCATAGGGTTGTAACAATCTAATTCCTGATTTTTTAGTTACAAAGTAAAATAGAAAAGCAGAAGGATTGTCAGTATGCAGTGATATACTATCTCTGTATTTAAGCAAAATATGTGATTCAGACATGACAGCCTCTTCCTAATGATGCGTGATTTCAGAAAAATAACTAATGAAAATGTTAAACCCCCAAGTTTTGCATTCAAATTGATCCTTTTTCTTTTGGTTACATTATATTCTGGAATTATAGTGCTGCCTATCTTGTATCTATGCTGGATTTTTGGTAGACCTTGTTGGCTTCATTAGCTATATATGGTAAATAATTGAGATTGTCATTTCCCAGTCAAAAAGGTTTCTCTGCCTTTTTGCATTTCTCCATAATTGGCAATTGCATTCGATTTTGAGATTCATTTTTGTTAGTTGGGGTCATATTTATATGAAGCAATTTATGTGATCTGATCTTTTAGCAGCTCTGAAACTTTGAAGATGCTGGGATACAGGTTTTTTTTTTTCCTACATTTTCTTAGGATAGGGTAGTCCTGGACCTCTGTACGAGTATACGACTATAACTAAATTATACAGAGACATTCCGGTAAGCTCACACCTTTCCTGTTAAATGGAAATTTATATATTAAAGCATTCCAGCCACTTGCTGCAGTGATAATCAGAAAGCAGGAAAAAGTTAGGTAGAGAATGTTCTGAGATCAGTAGTGCTGGTGATATTTGGAAAAAGGTCAGCAGATGCTGATTTCAAACATATGATGGTGACATTAATCATGGAGTCATAGAGGAGGGAGAGGAGGTGGATAAGGGCTTAAATTTGGTTATACTGGCAACTTATGGAGGTTTGTTGAGTTATTGCATGCCTGGTATGGGATACTTGTACAGCAAGGTTGAGTTGGATGTGCACTCTGTGTGGGTGAGCTATTGTCTAGTTTTTTGTACTTTATTGTTGGTTTGTTTATCGTTTAAGCAATAAAAAGGTTAAAGCAAGTAACCATTGGTACTGTTTATCGTTTCTTCTTTGTTTAGTTTCACATACTCTCTTTTATGCTTTCATAATGGTTACTTGCTTTAACCTTCTTATTGCTTACTATGCTTACTTGCTCTACTTTTACAGAACTCTCACTACTTTACCAAAATGTCCCGAGCACTTTGTTAACTTTTCATATCTATCAAATCTTTCCTTTACATGCTGTATGGGTCCACCCAAGACTCCCCCAAAACTTTTTCACAAAAACTTTCCTCTGCCGGGTCTTCACAAGAACAATATCTCTACTCCCTTGGATAGTTGTAATGTCTGCGTACATTCTATTTCTACTCCAACCCTACTTCCAAGTGGTATATACTGTGTATGTTTGGTTTAGGTTATCCTGTTTCATGTTCCTTTATATCGAGATTGTAATGATTTAAGCTTCTTTTTATCTGTATTTAACCTTAATGGTATTTGTAGTTTTAGTTTCTAAAGCTTTTATGAATGCAATTTTGCTATATGTTATTTAAGCTTTGAAGTATAACAAGTTCGGTGGCTAAGCGGGTGCCGTGTTATCGTGTTCTGGATCTTTTAGTTTGCAACACTTGTGACAACTATGGAAGGAGTACTCGATGCGTTTGACCTGACTTGTATATACTGCAGGCTTTAGCATTAAAGTTTATCCCTTTTCATATCGCGTTGTATGGACATAATAAGAAGCAATATGGTTGGGGGGAAACCTTTATTGCTTTTCTTGCTTTTCTTGCTTTTCTTGCATTTCCTTGAGAGGTCAGAGTGATGGTATCTAATCCTTTTGGTGCTAGACTTCCTAGAGAAGGGGGTAACTTATCTAGAAATGTCCACTTCTCTCTCGCAGTCTCACTTTTGATTGATTTGGTTCAGTATAAGGTCTTTGATTTTCTTTTCTTTTTTGCTTTGTACTACAAGCTTTTCCTGCATTTGCTGTATTATCTTTTTTTATTGTAGAAGAAGCATCATGAATAATTCTAGTGTTACCTTCGTATTTATTCTAAACTAATTTAGAATCGTATGTCACCGTTTGCATAATGACGGTTTTCTTAGATCTATCAATTAATGCGATGAGCTCAACAAATGTATATAGTCAAGGCAATGTATATTTTTTATTTTCACACACATGCATATGTAGATGCTCACACAAATATTCACATATTAGCACACAAGCAAACAATACATCAACATAATTAACTGTTAGTGTTTTAGAGACCTGGACCATATGGGACCTAAAGACAAATGATAGACATCTACTTTCTATGTTAGCAGAGGTAGGAATTCCTCCTTTCTGAACTTCTGCTTACTGATACTGACTTCTATGTGTAAATTTTGCCTCTTGAATGAGTATTAGCTTACTGTTTCTGCATAGAGTAGTTAAGCATTTGCAGTCACGCATGACGTTGACATCATATATGAATATATACTATTTATACTATGATTACTATCAAGCCATTTTTGATACACTTGGTCCATTTGAGTAGTTTTAGTAGTTTCATAATTCGTTTTGCCATTCATGAACTAGAAAGGGATCTTTACTCAACTAAAAACAAAATATGGGTATTGATGCGTGTTGTGACAAAAAGAAAATCATTAAATTAAATTTACCATGGCATGGGCAAGCAGGTTTGTATCCACAGGGGACCATTTGGTTATTCTGAAAAATGTGTAACTCAAACAATAAAAGTAAAACATAAATTAGAAGATTTTGCTTTATAGCAAAAAGATTAGTCTAAGGTTTTTATGTTGATTTCAGTTAGCAAACGTTCTTGTATTGCTACAATGAGAAAGAAAGAAACACTTGGTAATATAGATTTTAGCTTCAGATGCTTTGTGGTTGTCTATCGCCAAATCCTGCAAGAACTTGCTAGCAGGGTATGGGCAACATGCCGTTGCCAATCAACATGGGTGATACGTAAGCAATCTTGATCCACTGCGTTTAAAAACATGGCTAAGTGATAGTAATGACATGCAAATTTACCACTGTTTAAGTTTTTCAAGTGTATAGCCTAGACTCTTGGTGAAATCAAGCAGGTTTGATGGCTCATGTGCAGTTCTCTTGGATGGTATACATATATAGAAGACAAACTATGATGTGGTCTAGACTTTATAAATTAAGAAGTATCTTTTCTTCCAGGGTACCTAAAGTGTAATTTTATCACGGCGGCAAGGTTATGTTAAGAGTAATTTTTGTAAAGGCTATCTCGTCTGGCAATATAGATTGGAGAGGCCTTATTTGAAAAAGGAAACCATTAAATATGTGCAGTTATTATAACCTTTTGGTCAACATGAAATGCAATGTAAGAGCTTCACACAAAATTCAAGAGAGTTGATTGTTATTTTGGCTGATACTAAAATTGCTTGATATGATATTTCAACCTTTGCAGGTATGTTCCGTAGATTAACATACAAATAATATTAGAAACTTTTTATGTCTGTTATGGGTGATATGGTAGATTCATGGTGGAGGCAATCTATGAATTGTGTTCCACATTTCTAGATGCTCATCTTCTTCTATTTTTGATGTTAGGCATAGATGCTTATCCCTGTTAAAAACACCAGTTAAAGACGTGCTAATTGAAGCCTCTAATAAACAGGGATTTAGGAAAGTCGATCCTGATCGCTGGGAATTTGCAAATGAGGGATTTCTACGAGGTCAGAAACACTTGCTTAAAAGTATTGTTCGCCGGAAATCAGCTTCGGGACACAATCAACAGCCTCCACAACCTCATGCACAGAGCTCCTCTGTGGGTGCATGTGTTGAAGTTGGAAAATTTGGTCTGGAGGAAGAGGTTGAGAGACTAAAAAGGGACAAAAATGTTCTGATGCAGGAACTTGTCAGGCTGAGGCAGCAACAGCAGACCACTGATAATCAAATGCAATCAATGGTGCAGCGCCTTCAGGGGATGGAACAAAGGCAGCAGCAGATGATGTCATTCTTGGCGAAGGCAGTGAACAGCCCGGGATTTTTGGCTCACTTTGTACAACAGCAAAACGAGAGCACCAGGCTCATTACGGAGGGGAACAAAAAACGCAGGTATAAGGAAGATGGAGTTGTTTCAAACGACCACCCATCTGTTGCTTCCTCTGATGGACGAATTGTTAAGTACCATCCGATGATGAATGATGCAGCACAAGCAATGCTCAAGCAGATAATGAAACTAGATAACGCCTCACCTCGCTTAGGAACTTTCAGCAACAGTCCGGATAGTTATCTAGTTGGTGACGTTTCTTCGGAAGCCCGTAGTGGCTCAGGAGTTACTCTTCAGGAGGTCAACCCACCAGCTTCTGGTCAATCTTATTTACCGGCTGTTACAGGAGTACTCTCTGCACCTCTAGAAGCAAATTCCGAAGTGGTGGCAACAAATCAATTCCCAGAAGCGAGCTCACTAGTTGATGGCCAAGAATTTCCTGATGTATCTGAGCTCTCATGCTTGCAAGATATGGCGCCAAATGCTAGTGTCAACATCTCCAACGATTACATGCAGTCTGAAGCACAGAATCGAGCACTCTTGGATCCAAACTTGGTTGATGAGAAACTTTCCTTAGAAATTGGGAGTTTCTCTCCTGATGCAGACATGGAATGGGATAGTAATTTGCTGATAGAGATGGAGAAATACCTTACTGCATATGACCCGTCATTGGATCAGTTTCTTGAGCAAAGCCCAGAGGTTGATACAACCGATGAAATGGACTCCAGTCCGGTGGACGATCATGTCATGAAGGGAAATGAAAGCAAACCATCAGAAACCGAATGTTCCAGGTCTCAAGTGCAGCAACTCACCACACAAATGGGGCTTCTTGCTTCAAATTCCAGAAAAGCTTGATTTTGCTCGGAACAATATACACAAACTCGTTCCATATCATTGGAGGTAAAAGCTTGAAAGTTATACAATATCTGTCCTAGTCATCAATGTGTTGTCTTTACTCTTGCCCTTAAAAAGGGAAGCTAATCTTTGAATTCTTGATTCTGCACTTCCCAGTCCCAGCAAATCTTTATTTTGCATTAGGTACTTGTATACTTACAATATCGTGTCTGTTATAGAAGTTTAAATTCATAATCTTTATCGTGCATTCATGGGGAGACTGAACAAACTTGGCAGGGTAGCTAGTGGAGTATAGTATAGATGCTAAAAGCACAAAATTTGACCCAAATGGTTTGTTGATATGTTTGTGCACAGAATTTATTCTCTTTTGTCGGTTTTTGTTGGACCCCTTAGCATCAGAACTAAAATACATCAGAACCACCCGTTAATATGCATGATATTCTTCTGTTCATCTGTTTTGATGCATATGGATGGATGATTTGGATGGATTTTGAACAATGCTATGAATGTATCAGGTGGCTGAAGGACAGATCCTGGGAATGTTGAACGGAGTTTTTTTTTGTGGTGGTTTTTGTGGGTGAAGAGCTGGAAAAAGTGGGGGTATACTTGTACATGTTGACAAGGCAAGGGGCATGCGATCTCTAGTTGAAGCTTTACTGGAAGTAGGTCGGAAGTATAACCTGAAATCGGCTAAAGTTAATACTTTGTTTTTGCAGTTCCAACGCGACAGTTACTTATTATGTGTTGAGCTAGCAGTGATGAAGCTCATATATATCTAGTTGACCACCTGTTGGGTTCAGGTAGGCTGTTGTTTCCTGTTCAACTTTTGTATGCAGATTGTGAATTCTTGGTGTAATTTTTGGGTTTTTTTTGGGAGCGGGGGCGAGGGGCAATATGTTTCTGTTTGGCCATCCATCCATATTTGCACAATCTCATGGCCCAAAGGTGAATATGTCAAATGTTATGATACCCTCCATCTTATACATGATCTATCACATGAGGATGATTTCATTTTTGTCCTTGCTGGTTGTTTGTTCAAAACTATGAATCTTTTGTTTTTTTACCCCTTTGCTCTCAGTTTTCTCGTTTTCTCGTTTTCCTTCTTATTTTTTCCGTACGAAACAAAGAACTTCACTGTGTTTTTGCTCTCGTGTGTCTTGTAAAAAAAGGTGACTGAAAATTGGGAGTATACCTAATAATTCCGTGCAAGTCAAGACAAAAAAAGATCGAAATATTATTCGAGGAAACTTGATTCTTAGGCAATCCAGATTATTGATTTATCGATTTCACGTGATACCCAATGTCCAATTTTCTAACATGGTTACACGCTACAACTACTTGGAGCATTCATCGTTCCAAAAAGCCATCAATGTGACTAATACCCGTCGCAAGGCAATCCAAAACTACGAGTCGATAACATTAGCAAGAACGGTGAGGGGTTGACCAAAACCATAGCATGTGACGGGTTCAGGGTGTCCAGTGATTGAGGGCACCCTTATGGGTATCGAGAAAAGAAAATTCAAAGGTGAATAATCTATCCATGAGATTCGAGTTAAATGATTTTGGGGTTATTAAAAATTCTTTAGTAAAACGCCATTAACGACATCGAAGAACACATAATCTAACAAAATTAACAAGTATTTCAGAAGAAACCATTGAGACTTGTTTATCAAAGTGGTCTAAGGGTCTGTTTGTTAGTAACTTAGTGAGATTCACAGTTTATTTGGTCAATATATATATATGACTGTTTTGTAGATCATTGATATAGAAAGTGACTTTTTTTAGTAAGCTTCTAGACGGTGTTTTATGTAGAAAGCTATGTTTTTTTTCAAACTTATCTCTTCTAACCAAAGAACACGTTTCTTCTATTTATGAAAAAACTCTTCAGAACAAAAACCTTTAAACAAAATCATTAAAAAGGAAAAACACTAAAATTGCCACCAATGATTGGGGTAAATACAAAAATTTAGGGTTTTAGTAGATATTTTTGACTTAGGATTGGGGGCGTGCCGCCCCTACCCTTAGCAAATGCATCTGCACATCACTTTTATTATCGGTTTATTCTCCAACTTTAAATGCATCTTCGAATTTTTAAAACGGAGAAAATAGGATTTTGAACAACTTTTTATTTTTTATAAATTTCTTGAAAATGAAGAAAATAGTAGAGAGGGTATAAATTTCCAAATTTGGAGATGTCTTAAAAATGATTACCACACGAGAGAAATGACTCTTTTATCATATTCTATCTAGTGATAATTGATAACTTTGAAATGAAATGTTTATGAGAAAGAAATAATAGAGCAAGAATCGTGTGAAAAGTTAAACATTTTGTGAGAAGTTTCAATATCATATATAATTATAATTTTTGGATGTTTTTAATCATAATATGAATTTTAAGCATCTATATGCTGTCAATGCAACATGTGCTGAATCATATATGATTAAGTTTGTATAACATATCTATAATCATATATAATATCGAAACTATTCATTTTTAGATCTCTTTTAAACCTGTCCTAGAAATATTTAATTTATCAAATATTTTAATAATATATTGAAGTTGAATACAATTTCTTTGCTTTTAAGGATTTCTAACTTTGATCCTCTGTTTAAAAGCTGTCGGAGATACTCTTTATTTGAGTATGACGATTTGAACAGAAGCAGCAAAAGCAAAACGGAGATCCTGACGACCATCATTTCCATGGAATTTAACAACCCAAATACCTCCGCTCTGCAAGTGTTAATGGTTAGTGGCATGATCTTCACTGCTCATATCAATAGAATAAACCCTTGATACCAACACTTGCATACTTCCATTTCTGGTTTTCATTCTTTCTTTAGGGAAACAAGAGTTTCATTCAGCTACTGCTACATATATCTACACACACAATTTTGGGTTATATTTATTTTCGGCTAGAGACGATTACAGAGTTCAAAGAATCAGGAAAGAAGCAACAGCAGAATGAATGAATGAAAGAAAATGAAACCCTTATTATATTTTACATTTCACTCAGCCAAACTTTATAATCAAAATATGGAGACAGCAATAGCTTTCTTATGTCCTATTTAAACTCAAGATTTTTGGATGTTTGCAGTAGGCTTCGGCAGCACCTGGTTGCGGTAATCAGCTAAAGCCCACATTGGGTAGATACTTCTGTATAGCGCATAATGCAACATGCAGTTCTTCATGAACACTCCAGTTATTTCCTGTTTTAATTAGTTGTTCCATGGTTAGCATCTCATCTACGCTCTTGAAAGTGTCGTTTTCTTATTCAGACGTTGTCATTCTGTTATATCAAATGCATAGAATTTAATTGCAATCTAGCTTTTTGCTATGATTCTTTAAATGCATCTGCTGGTCTTCTTTAATTACTATTTCAGTTTTCTTTCTTTTTAACTTCTTTCAATTCCCTATCTGCTTTACCTGTTGCGGAAAATCGCCATTTTCCATCTGGGAATTGATCAGCAACTTGGCCGCTCTGTGTAGTGGTGTTGGATCTCTTTCCGCCTTTGCAATCAGACGTTAATTCAAACGTGAAACTTGATAAAATCTAACGAAAGGAATGATATGGAATAGTTTCAAATTGCTAAACAGACCTGCCGAGAATGGATCAGCCCCATCATAGCCCACGCAGTATGTACCAAGTTGGACCGTCCTCCTTCTAGAGGTATATATTTCTGTTTGTAAAGTAACCGGTGAGCGTCCTATAAACTTATTTCAAAACAAGTGTCCTATAAAAAGATGGGTTTATAGGACACTTTCTCATAAGTCTCCTATAAAATTGCTAACGCAACACTTTAAAAGTGTCCTAAAAAACTAGTTAAGACACCCAAAAACGTCCTAGAAACTTATTACAACGCCTAAATCTTATAAAACAGTTTATTAGCACACTTAGAAATTGATGGCATCCTATAAACCCAATTTTGTTCGGCTAACAACTAGTTTTCCAAACATATCCATAATGTTGGCATGCTATATGCTTTGTGTTGGCTTGTTATTTTACTTTCTCATATTAATTTTGGAAGCTTGTAACTTTGAAGTATTACCTTTTGTGGGCAGGATTTGTAGCTTTCTCCCCAACCACCATCTTCCCGCTGTGTTTTTAGCAGAAAACTGACAGCTTTACGTATTGCTCGACAATTTTCATACGTCTTGCCAATTGCTGCCAGGCCTCCAAGAGCAAACCATGTACCGTATGTGAAACACACACCCCAGTTTCCATACCTAATGCCCATGGCTTTTTATGTTAGTAAAACCAACTGTTTTCAGGAACTTTTATCATCTGATGTTCAAAGAAGAAACAAACCATGAACCATCTGGCATCTGTATTTTCTCTAGATATCCACCTGCACCTTTAAGGAAATTTACTATCTCTTTGCTCCTATGCCTGGGGAATAACTTGTTAAACAAAACCAGGGCCTGCATTGCTGATGATGTGCACTCGACATACCTGTTTAATGACTTAGTTTTGTGAGTCTAGTGAAGTTGACATCTTGCAAATCGATCCGCAACCAGAACACATATGGAAATAGTAGAGTGTGTCGGAATCTTACTCATGCTCTATGACAATGTCTGCAAAGAACTCTGTTGGATTGAGAATCTAAAATGGAACAGAAGTTGAGTAAGTGACGAATGCATATGCATTGACAAAGGGAAATTAAAAAAATAGCCGTTTCAGCCTAATACATTTACCTCTCAGCCATTTCTCTCCCAAAATTTCCAAAAAGTCACTACCTTCGCAAGTAGCAACTCCTCAACTTGCGGAGGGGTCAAAGAGTAAAAAAACAATTTTCTTAACATGGTTAGCAAGTACAGAGACTAAATCTGTAAATTAGTCTAAATACTTCAAAGTGTACTTGCGGACCTTGTTTAGAAAATTCTCTTTTTTATAACTTTTTGAACCCTTCGCAAGTTGAGGAGTTGCTACTTGTGGAGCTAGTGACTTTTTTTGGAAATTCTGGGGTATAAATGGGTAAAAGGTAAATTTGGTTCTGTTAATATTCCATTGGAAAAGCAGTTTTTTCTTAATCTAGTTACCTCCAACCATTCTGATGATCCTGCTGGTTCCCAAGCTGATAAGCCACCATTTGTGCTCTATATCATCATCAATGTCAAAAATTATACAAAATATTAGGTTTTGTTCGCTTAAAGTTTTCTTGCCAGTATGTTCACGAAATGGAAGAGGAATGATCAGCAATTTGTGTGTACCTGTAAAGAAAGTAATACGTTGACAGCATCTTTTAGCTGCTCAGGATCCATCTTCTTGCCAACAATTTCTGGTGGCATCATTGAGAGTAAGAGGCAACACTGAATATAGAAAGTTAGTAGACGATGAGACGCCGTTTTATATTGTGTAATTACATGCTCCTAAAAAGGAAATATAAATACCTTTAATCCTTCAGCAGTACAGTCGGAAACTTGCCATCCATGGTCTTGATCTGAAAAGGTCCACGACCCTTTAGAAATATGGCGATGCATGCTTTTAAAGTCACCAGAAGGGTTGTCCTTTACCTACAGAAGAGTTGAAGGACATTAAGCACAAATGAATACAATACCAAATAGAAACTACTTTTTTTTTTATAGTTTAACTAGTGTTCTTCAAGAAATTCATTCTAGTTTTAATCTGGATACCTGTGAGGCTTTAATAAAGTCGTGTCCTTTCTTCAGCGTAGGGCCAATCTCATGGGTAAGATCGGTAGCCAGCAGCGCTTGGATGGCAAAACCTCCGTCCCACTCTTGGCTGCCAAAGCTCTGTGTTGAAACAACACCCATTTCAATTTTGCAGTTAGGAAAATCTAATGAAATCTAGTATTTTAGCTTGCATCATGAAAATTTATGGATTCTAATGATCGGGTTTTCTTCTATAACCTGCATTTTCATTCCATCCTCGGCAACCCAGATATAATCGGGGATTCTGGCAAGGTGCTTTTTAAAGCTGACTCCATTCGGATCTTCAACCCAACATGATAGCATACACAGTGCCTGCAAAGTTTGTGTGCAGGAGGCATAAGCAAGCAAAGTAAAGGTTTTCCTACTTGATATTTGATAATCTTTTAGTGAATGTTTGTGTGATTTTTCTTTTTCTATACCTTCTCGACTGAACCAATTGTGATATATCTGCTATTCTCATCCTCATAATGAATATGATTCATGGTTGTTTCGAGTGCTTTCTTGCGCAATTTGTTAAATGGCCAGCGAGTGAGGAGAGGCTCGGTGAAAATGTAGAGGCTATCCCACAGTAAATCTTGTAGTAGAGGATGTGGGTAGTATAGGTCCTCCTGAGACAATAAATTGGCTTAATTAGCCAATGATTAGGGAAATATGTAAGAATATACAAATCAATGAAGTAAAGCAAATGATTCACCTTTGCACACAAATGTCTTATACTCTTCCAGTTGATTTTATTGTAGGGCTGCGCGTAAAGTTCATCCCGAAGTTGTAAAACCAGAGGAGTGATTGGACCCACAAATCTTTTCCCGTATAGGTACGACATTGGCATGTACACCAGCCTACAGTAACACCACATTTTCGCTGCATTTGGATGACAGGATGTAAGTTATCAATGTAGTATGCGGATATCGATTAATACTGTAGTCTGCTATGATCCACATTTTGAGTTTGGTTTTCCAGATCTTTAAACCCATGCTCTACTTTATCTGGAAAATGTTATTTCTGTCAAATAATTGGTATTAGAGAGCTCGGCAAACCTGGATACATCGGAAGGAAAGAAGGCAAGATCCAGAACTCTGGGGGCATCGGGTTGCTTCCTGCCCAATCACAAACACCGAGCATCTGAAACAAACAACTGTATCAGTACTTCGTCTTAACAAGATAAGATAAGGGATTTCAAATCAATTTTTTGTATTGTTTTTAATGATGGGAAATGATCTTTTATATGCTTGAAAATGTCTTACTGAAAGCCACGTTTTTCCCCAAGAAGGAATGGTTGTCACACTGCCATGATCTAGAATCCATTTTCGCGCTTTGGTGCATGCACCATTTAAACCACCATCCGGTCCTTCTCCTAGAAGACGCATGTTAATGTAGCTGAGGGTAGTGCAAAACATCGTGCTATGACCTTCAATGTGAAATCCCCATCCTCCGTCTTCATTCTGTAAATTCCAAATTAAAATACATTTGAATGTCAAATTGTGTCGGATGTCATCATAGCTAATTTATAAATATTAATACCTGATGGCAGTATAAGTATCGAAGAATTTCTTTTCTGTATTCTGTCGTGAAGACGCTGTTAAGATGGCCTGTGATATATAAGCATATAACCTGCATTTTGTAGATATGAAGGTAGCTAGTGTGATCAGCTTGCAGTCAATATATATCTAGGGGTAAAATCAAACGAGAAACTAAACATTTTGCGAGAAGGCGAGAATTTTAATATCATATATGATCGCACACATGATATACAAGCTTAATCATATATGATTAGACACATGTTCCATACAACACATAAACACTTAATCATATATGATTAAACTCACCCAAAGGATTGTAGTCATATATGATTTGAAACTTCTTGTTTCTCACAAAATATTTGCGAGGCGAGAAGTTTCAGTATCATATATGATTATACGCATGATATACAAGCTTAATAATATTATATATGATTAAACACGTGTTGCATTGACAAAACATAGACGCTTAATCATATATGATTAAACACACACAAAGGAGTGTAATCATATATGATATTGAAACTTCTCGCATCCTAATGTTTAACTTCTCGCATGAATCATGATCCTTCCCCCCTCTCTCTCCCTATACGTAAAATATATTTATAAAATGAACAACAGTTATACCAATGGCTGCATGAAATACAACGGACCAGCATTTTCGGCTGGCCAGTGGCCATCGTCAGCCTGCAAGGCTGCAAATAAGCGAACAGACCTCCTCAACGTGGTGGTAGCTTTTTCATAAGAAATCTCTTCACCATCTTCTATCTTCACCTGGGGTATCGTCTGTTTAAACCCTTTCTCTTTTAAAAACTGCATATTTGTGTTCCAGTGACATCTTACTACGGATTTTGAATTTTATTTTGTAGACCCAAAAATGGTAAAAGTTGAAGAAAGAAGGAGAAACCTGCATCCGCCAAAGCACATCACTGCTGGGTTTAACTTGGTGTCGATGATTCCAGAAGTCAAGACGAGCCTTTTCCACCTCATCCCGCTCGTCTGGAGTTCCATAATTTGGATCAAACTCCCAAATTTGCCTACCAACGAAGTTGTTTGTACTGTAAAGGTATGGATCATTGCCCCCTTCCGCGATCTTCAACCTCCACATATTTTTCGCCTGAATATATATATATATATATATATATATATATATATATATATATAACAACTGCAGTTTGTTTGTATAACAAAGTTATGGGTGCAGATTAGTTTTTGGAGGGAGAAGTAGCATTTGATGATTGGTAGGTACCTGTTTTTATAGTGCAAGCAATGTGAAAGATGCCTTTTTACAACTCGTTTCTTGCGACACCAACCACATTTCTGCTACCATTTGCGAAGAAAATCCTAAAGGTGAGCATCTTGTAATCCAAAATTTTCAAAATGACCCCATTGTAATCGTCTCGTTAATACCTTTAAAATAAATAATATTTTTTGATTTATTCCTATTATTAAATAACATAAATACATACGATAAGCTATATACTATATCTTTATTGTATTATAAAAAGAGAGTTTCACTTAAAAAAGGAGTTATAGTCATCTTAAAATTTTTAAGAGGTAATATAATATG